TCAATTTGTAAGCTGTGTGTTTATTTCTAGACTTCTAAAATAGAATCTAAACATATTTCTAAATTCAAATTATAGAGGAAAAGTGAGATGGATAAATTAACTTTTCATTAATATGAGTACAGGATTATATGAATTAATAATAGACAAAATAAAACAACAGGAGTTTCATTAAAATTTTTTAATATGAAATTCCAGTGAGGAAATACAAAATTATCACCAACAGAGGGCAGTAGTGAATACAGAACATAACTGTACAAAATGTGATAGATCTTCATAGTTAAGATCTTTTTCTTTAATTCTAGTAAACTAGAATTAGAATTTCTTCAATTCTAGTAAACTAGAATTAAAGAACATACCCACAAGGTTAACAATATCAAATAATAAAGAGTATACAAACTCATACCTACAAGAAGTTGAATTATAATGTGAGCAAAAAAAATTAGATAAAAATGGCAGTGTTTAGCAAGCACAGTATTTATAAAGGATGTTATTTCCCCAAATAAACCCATCATTCCCAATTCATTGATCTCACTGCTCCTTAGGGGCTATCCAAAAATAAAAACTAGAGCAAATGAATGGCCAGCTTCACTTATCTACAAGCAAATGAAAGGTCTGACCTTTTGTGATTAACAGGAAAAGCTAGAGAGGGTCAATGTCCCAGCGAAGTAGAGTAAGGGGGCTCCATTCTAAGCAGAAAATAGGGACCAGTACAAACACCAGGAATCAGTATATAACACATGGGCACTCAACATAAAAGTTAGAGGAAAAGGATGCTGCTGAGTGAGCACCTGAACCTGAACCATAGTCCATGAAACATATTGCCAGGCAGCTGGCAGTAAGGGTGCTGTTAACAAGTGTGTGCAAAGTATTCCCTGCTGGGAATTACACATCCCTTCCTTCCTTTCCTCCTACCCCTGTTGTCCCTCTTCATTTTCACTTTCTTCACACATCACGATTTTCTATAGACGATTGAAAGGCATGAACTTTGCTGTCATCTATATGTAAAAATATATATCCTGCTTAAGAAGAAGAGTAAAGGTTAGTAGAATTAATGGGAAAAAAGGTTGTAATACTTCATATTGGGTAGCCCTACATTATTATCAAATTGAACTATTCACCATGTCCTAAACCTGCTCTACATTTTCCTACCCCACCCCTGCTATTTTCTTAACCTAGAATGCCCCTTCAGCGGTCCCCAAATTTTCTGGCACCAGGGACTGATTTCATTTAAGACAATTTTTCCACAGACCGAGGGGAGGGTAGGGCGTGGGAGGCGGAGCTCAAGGGGTGATTCCAGTGATGGGGAGCGGCTGTAAATACAGATGAAGCTTCATACAGATGAGGCTTCACTGGCCTGCCCCCTACTTCCTGGTGTGCACCCCCTTCCCCCTTTCATGGAAGACGATTTTTCCATGTTGTGGGGGCGGCGCGGAGCTCTGCGGACCGGGGGAGTTGGGGACCGCAGCCCTATATGGCTGTCTCTCATCACAGTCTAAAATATTCTACACTTTCTTGAAAAGGAGTAAAAATAGCATCTCTAAGAAGCCTTCCAGGAAGAACTAATACCTCTTTTCTGTCTACAGTTGCTTACTCACAATTATATTTACAAATACTATAGCATCTTTGCATCATGTTTGTGTATGTTCCCTCTTATTGCAGATGGACATTCTCTCTCTGCTCAAAGCCTTTTTGTTTAAAAATCATGTTCAATTGTTATGTTTCCATAAGAATTAGAAAGACGTTTAACCTTCGGTGTTGCTTATAAGGTAAAGGAAGATTTGGAACTAGACGTTATCCTGAGCCCCTAAGTCAAACAAAAGCATCACTGCCTAACTTCAACGCTCCCAACTTCCCAGGAAAGATGGTGACTTATCGCTTTTAATTTTAAAAACTCTGGAACCCACAGATCTGCCGAGGAAACCTGATTGTTACCAACAGAGAAGAAGAGATAGATGTCTTGAGGAAAAAACCCAGAGTCTTCACCCGTAGGTTATCAGTCAGCCCTCCCCCAGAACTGGGAACTTAAAAGGTCACCCTTAGGAAAGTAAGAAAGGGCGACGGAGCAAGCTCCCTAGATCTGAAGGAGTGCAGTGTGGAGCCCACGCAGTAGAGGTCTGAGGATGAAATCCTTTTCATCTTTGGGGGAGAGGAGAGGGCGGAGGACGAGTCCCAAGGCAGCGGGGAAGGGGCTGGGCTCCGCAGCGGAGACTACAGGGAAGAGAAGTACCTTAAGAATCCCCCTCATCTTCGCCAGAAAGGGGCGGAACTCCTCGGGTGGCACCTCTGGATAGAGTTGGCTCCGCAGCAGCTCCTCCGTGATGCCCTGGTGCCCGTGGAAAGCCTGCTGGGCCAGGCCGCTCAGCAGCCCGCCCAGAGGTTTGCAGCCCTCGAGCTCGCCCGCCATTGTCTGCGAAGGCCCCGCCCCTCAACAACTGAGCGCTGCCCCGCCACGGAGGCCGAGACGGGCCTAAGTAGTCCGGGCAAAGGCACATCCGGGAACGTAGAGAAGAGGTTCATCCCCAAAAGTCGGAGTTGGCAGCTTCTAGGTTTGCTTTACAAAACCCATCCCCTTAGGATGCCACCACGAAAATATCCCTTTGGTTCTAATAGGATCACTCTGCTTCCGCTGATTTCCTTCATCACTCCAGAGCCTACTCAAGAGAAAGATCATTTGGTGATCACTTGAGATGGGGTAGCATCCTGTAAGTTTGGCAGTTTAACTTTTGGATGGCTGTATCTCATTCCAGGCATTTACAACTAACTGAATGGGATCTGTCACTCAGATCTAATTTCCGCATAATCCTTATCTTTCTCCCTTTATCCAAGAAAATTTAACTATCTGCTGATAACATGATGTGTTTGCTTGGGTTGTTAATTGCCTTTTTATTAATATATACACTTGTCTTTCCAGCCAGACCGGGGCTCTGATCCAATATTCCTTTCTATAACAAATATTTTGTTAACACCTTCTTTACTATTCTGAGATGAAATGCATAGATAATATAACTTCCTCCCCATATAATTTCAAGAAATCAATATATTACTCACCTATAAAAATCAAGTACCGATACATGCTACAACATGCATGAACCTTTCGAACATGCCAAGTAAAAGCAGCCAAATGCAAAAGGCCAAATATTGGACAAACCCATTTATACGAAAAGTCCAGGATAGACAAATCCATAGATTGAAAGTTAATTAATAATTGCCAGGGGCTGGAGGAGTGGGGAATGGGAATTGATTATTAATGGGTACAGGGTTTCTTTTGGGGTGATAAAAACGTTCTGGAAGTCGGCCAG